GCCCTCACCAGCGCTTCCTGGGGCGGTAAGCGAAGCGGGTGGACAGAACAGGAGCGGATGGCATGGTGGTGTCACAGTGGGGTGGCTCTTCCAGAGAAGAGGCAGCTTGGCCTTGCCCAGAGAAAATCCTCCCGGGCCACAGGCGGGGGGCGAGTCTCAGGGCTCAGCCTCCAGGTGCTTCCCGCGCCCAGGCTGGCTCCTCAGGGCTTTGCTCCTGACCCCAGGCCTCTGCTCCCTGCCAGCCCTCTCCCCGTCCTGGACCTCTTTTGGGTCTCCTCTGTGCCCCGTGTGCTGGCCAAAGCAGCAGTCCGGCCATGGGCTCACTTGCCTGCAGCCACTGTGTGCCTCGAGCAAGCAGCCTGGACTTGGCCAGCACCTGTACTGGGACAAGCCAGTGGCTGCCATTGCACAGCCTCCTTTGGGGCCCCTTCCTTTGCCTGGGCTGCCTTCTCTGTCTATTACAGTCTGTCTGCTCTGCTAGTGGATGCCTCTCTCCCTGTCCTTAGAACATTTCGGATGTCTCCTTAGGAAAACTTATTTCTTCCATTTCACCCCTTCCTTTTCTCCCTCATGCACCCATCATATGTGATTATTTTAAATGGTCGCCATTCAAGGGTGGGGCTCCTGGATGGTGGGATGAAGACTGTTGAGTCTGCCATTGTTCCTCCAGGATGTAAAAACACACATTCACGCTGTCGACGAACTTGTGAAGACGCGCACCTCCAGAAACAGCCAGCGATTGGACCCACAGCCTTTGGCACTGAGTTCCATCTGCAGCACTCATGTAGTCAGGCCTTGGGGATGGGTCAGAACGCCACCCCTGTGACAAAGGGCATCTTCTTTACAGGAAGCTGACAGGCAGAAAAAGGAGATTTCCTAGCTGGCTTCCATGCCTGAATAATTTTGTCGTTGTTGGGGTTTTTTTGCCTTCTGTTTGATTTATATTTAGAAGTAATTATAATGCTTGATTACAAAGTAAATTAAATGAACCATTATTATGAAGTTAAAAATCTATGTTAATAGAATAATAGTATGAATTATAATATGCTGTTTTATAATTTATATTAAAGATGTTGCTAATTTATGTAACAAACATAAATGAGAATAATAGAATACAACTTGATAAAAGATATCATTCACTTTTATCCATTTTGGGTCATCACATTGCAGATGTATAAAACAACAGAATGACTTGTAAATACACCATATGGTCTGCTCCATTGTTTATCCTGGTAAGTGAGATAAAGTACTTATTCAACATTAAAAAATGAATAATTAATAAAGCCCTCTCTAAATGCGCATTTGGAACTTGGTGAAATTAGAAAAGTTTTATACAATCAGAGATAGGAATTCACTTAGATTATGAAATAAAAATTAATAATTATAGTCCAGATCTTGAACAATAAATATAATGGATAGATGTTATTCTCCCACGAAGAACTGAAGATCAGTTAACTTAGCCAAGTAACAGCATATTTTCAGTTTAATTCCATTTTAAAGAGAATTTCAGAACCAATCTTTAGCATTTTTTCCAAATCACAGCAAGGAAGTAATCAGCAGCTTTAAGAGTCCCTTAGTACTCATTGACTTAATAGACAATTACAGCATATTGTGTTTTTTTCAAAAAAGTTAGCTGTTTTAGAGAAGTCCCTAATTACAGATTTACATGATAGACTTATCAAGAAAACATAATGCATTTCAAAAATGTACTTACAGTCCTAATGGCGTTGCCTGTCCTGATGCTTCTAGTTGAAGTGCTCAGCCAGTATTGGTGTTGGGGCCTTCTGCAGTGTGAAGGCAGAAGGCTTTCGCTTTGCTCCGGCTCTCAGCCTTGGGCTGCCCGGTGCTAACTCAGGTCCACGCAGCCCTGTTCACCGCTGGTCCCTGTCCACAGAGGAGGCGTGGTGTGGCCAGGAGTCTGAGCCAGCACAGTACTGAGCAGTAGCTGTGTCCCTGAGAGGCACAGCTCCGTGTGGAGCTAAAGTACACGCGATACCCTCATCTTTCTAAGAGGCGTGAAGTACCTCAGTGGCTGGAAAGGGAGGTCCACCAAGCTTTCTCCTGTCCCAGCTTCCGACTCATCCCTGGGCTTGGACTAGTGGTCGTCAGTGGAAGTCAGTGGGGATGCTGAGTTAGGCACCAGATCTTTTAAGGTTCTTTGAGAGATTTTAACCTTATTCAGAAGACTAATGCCTTCTACAAGGGAAGGAAATTGGAGGCAGTTAGTACATCCCTGCCCCTCATCAGGGCCCTGCCGCGCCTGGTGACAGACACCTGGAACAGCTGGGCTGCTGGCTGACAGGCTGACTGCGTGACCCCAGGAAGGGCCGCACAGCTTCCAGTTGCTGCGGAAGCTGCATGAAGTTTATCTGCTGTCTCCAGTGCGCTAAGCACTCGGCTGGGACTGCAAGTCCTTGGGGCCATAAGCTCTACTCCGGTGAATTTGATGTCCTGGGTGTCAGAGGAGAGCAGGTCCTCAGAGCCCGGGGCGCTGCCAGGCCTGCTGCCGAGTGGTGGCATGACTGTGGCTGCTTCCCCTGCTGCACACCCAGTTCGGGTGCCAGGAGAAGCTGTCTGGGACAGAGCAGCGCCTGCTTTCAAAATCGGAGGTCAGGGAGGATGAGTGTGTGAGGGAAGTGGCTTTCCTGACCAGCTCAGTGGTACGACCTCTCCTACCCCTTGGAAAACATTTTATCCACTTGTCTTTCATGGTATTAAAAGGCTAACAAATAGTTGACAGTTTCATCTTACAAATAGGTGTGTCCTTAAATGACTCAGGAATGAACCTAGAAACAAATATTTTTATTTGTCTAAGAAACATTAGGTTTCTTAAAACATTCTTCACATAAATATATAATGCTCATTTTTAAAAACATTTTACTCTCCATTCTAAGCAGTCAAGAACCAAGAATTTGTGAAAAATAAACTTAGAGAACTAAAATTTGTTTTAACTCCTAGGGAACTAAGAGCTCTTGGCTTATTAATTTTACTACTGATTTATGTTCATGTGTACCTGAGTATTCATTTCAAACCAGAAAGGAATAAGGAGCCCAATGTATAAATAAATTAAAAAGCAAAGCAAAGGAGAGATAACAGCAAACAGGGAGACGGATCTTTTGGAAATGGGAAGGGGACCAAGACATAGAGGGATTTAAGGAGAGAAGGGGATGTAGAAAGGATGAAGATGTGGTATGTGTTATATGTGTGTATCAGTTCCCCGCGGTGAGTGGAGTCATGTACTGCAGACATGTACTAATAAAAATAAAACTTTAAAAATAGGGGTTTTCTCCTTAGTAAAGCAGTTTCACTTCAACCCTAAGGTTGTTACCACGGTGCGAGGTTGGCACATTTGCAGGGTCTTTGGGGAAGCAGCTCTCAGCACCCGTCCGCTCAGTGCGGAAGCAAAGTCAGAGCAGCTCTGACCAGCCGGCAGCCTCTCCCTGCCATCCTTGACTTCATTCCTGCCCCTCCAGACTTCTGCCATATTTTACTCACCCGCTGGCAAGTATTCTTGACACTACTTCTAAGCGAGCTCACATTCAGTCCTTCACGAGAATTTTCTGTGTGTACTGTTGACTCGATGACTCCCAAATAGTTGCAAGTCTTAAGGACCAGACAGTGCTGGGAGCACACCCCTGTATCCTTCCGCTTTGCTAACCCTCCCCCTCCCCCAAGGCCTCATCCCCATGAACGCCCACATTCTCTTTAATGCTGCCTCGCTAGACTATTTTCCTGAACAATAAAAGCTTTTATTGTCCCAAGGAATTGCAAAACAGAGTAAAAGAAATATGGTTATGAAAGTTTTATTCTTTAATGTACAGTTTATAGTTTTTAGATGGACAAGAACATCTTCCATCATTTCTTTTGAAGTCAGCATTGTCTTTTATTGCAATGTGCTTGTTTTGTAATGGAAGTTATTAGGAGAGAAGAGACATCTTTTATGTAATACCTCCCACCAAACTTCGCTGTAGTGCCAAGCGGTGAGGAGCCATTCAGCAACGGCGTGGAGTCACAGCTTGTTCTTGGGTTGTAAATTTAGGGAGTAAGGCAAAAAAAAAAACAGGGTTCAGCCACACTCAACAGAAGATATGCCCTGGAGGTGGCGGTCACTGAGCTAGACTTCGACTCGAGTCGTGTCCCACGAGGAAGTCTCTGGAGTGAGTGGAGGGCCAGGCTGTGTGAAGACTCTATCACCTATTTTAGTACTAGGGCCACTTCAAGTTCAGAAACTGCTCACATTTTAGGAACATTTGGGGCTAAGACCATGTATAAGGTGATAGGACTGGGTCAGCTAGCTTTGCAGGTTCCTTTCTTTCCCTGATTTCTCTCCCTCTCCCTCTCCCTGTCTCCCTCTCTCTCTCTCTTTCTCTCTCTCTGCTGTCCCTCCCTCCCTCTTTGGTGTGTGTGCATGTGTATGTGAATTTGTACATATTCTGGAATTCCATTCTGTTCATCTCAGGTATTTGATCATCTCGATATGCATGACTACCCTTGCTATCTTCTAAAGCTAAGATTAGTTGGGCCGGGAATTTAGCTCAGTGGTTTCGCCGCCTGCTGCACCAAGTGCAAGGACCCGAGTTCGATCCCCGGTACCAAATATGCTAAGATTAGTTGAGGTAAGAAAGTTTGTATACACATAAACATATTAAATTTTGATTATTATATAAAGCACATAACAGAATGAAGGGAGAAAGCAACAAAAACACAGTAATATTTGGGTACTTCAGTGCCCCACTTTCTGTCTGGTAGTGCAAATCAATAGGAAAACATTATTCTAGATAACACTACAAACCAAATGGACCCAGCAGACATAGAGAACATTTTATTCCAACAGAGTATCCATTCCAATGCGCAAGAACGTCCTCCAGTGGAGATCATATTTTGGATCCCAAAATAAATCTTAACAAATTCAAGAAGTTTCAAATAATTTAAACAATCTTCTTAATCTACAATGATATAAACATGGAGATGAATAGTAAGGAGATATTTTGGAAATTCCCCCAAAATAGAAAATTAAACCCTGAACAACCACTGGGTGAAAAGGGGAAATGAAAAGGCAAGAAAAAAGAATCACATGACAAACTAAAATGGAAACACAACTTGCCAGAACTTATAGGATACAGAAAAAGCAACGCGAAGAGAATCTGTAGCAATAAACACCTCCTTCGATAAAAAGGAAAGACGTCAGATGAACAACTGGGCTTCACACCTCAAGGAACAACATAACAAGAAGAAACTGGGCCAGAAGTCAGCAGAAGGAAGCGAGTTATAAAGATCAAAGAAAACCAAGTAAGCTGGGAAGACAGAAGAAGAAAGCAACTGAAAGCTGGCATTTGAAAAGATAAAATTGACAGAGCTTTAGCCAGACTAACCAAGAAAGAGGCGATGCAATTGATGCTACAGAAGTGCAAAGGGTTCTGAGAGACTACTGTCTTCTTGGCCTCTCGGTGTTCACAGGACAGCGGAGTCGCCTAAGACGCATCTGTGGGAATGGATCCCCACCCCGAGGCGGCCCAAGGCTGCATACGGGATGGAGAAAGTTGACTCCAAAGCTGAGAACAGAGCCATGGTTATCAGGCATTGCATGGTGGGGGAAATGGAGCCATGTAGGTGTGGAGATGCAAACTAAGCTGTAAGGTGAGTAAGTACTGGGATCTAATAGCGTCAGCAGCGATGGCCTGCTCATGTGTGCAGTGTGTACACATACCAGATCGTCACTCAGGATGTCTTAAATGTACACTGTGTCTGTCGCTTAAACGTTTTAAAGTAAAAAGGATTATAGCACTTGCTTATCGTACAGCATTGCAGAGTCAGAAAGAGCACAGACCTCCAAGTTAGGAGCTGTGAATTCTTGTGCTAGCTACCATAATGTCATTTGTAAAGTGACACTAAATTATTTGTCCTTCTAAACTTTTATTTACTAAAATAAGCATATGGCTCAGCTCAGTGGTTCCAAACCTGGATGGGGACACTTACAAAACAAGATCTGCAGGGTTGCCTCTAGAATTCCAATTTTGTGAGACCCCAAAATGTATATATTTAAATACCTTTGGATCTCTTCCAGTTCGAATCCCAGTAGCAGGATCGCTGTCCTTCTTGAAGGTTCCCAGGGCCCCTCGACACTGTGTGCATGGGCTATGACCCCCCAGGCCTGGTGTACTATTGTCCTACGGTTTCAGACCATGCAAGGTGCCCAGTGTGCAGACCAAGCTCTGTGAAGGCTCACACAGGCATGGGCAGGTTAGAATCTGAGTGGGCAGACATGTGACTGGAGCTTTCTCTCTTTCCCCAAGTCTGTGGGCAGTAAAGTGAACATCATCTTTTGCTGTGTACCCAGGCAGCACGTGGGAAGTTCCGTTTGTAACCTCCTGGCATGTCCCGCACCCCAGGGGACAGCACTGACACCTGCACTATGGAGGCTTCTCCCTGTCACAGCTCCCAGAGGCATGGACAGCTGTCAGTGCAAGGCATGGGAGGGAAGGCCAGCTGCCCTCCAGCCCATCCACTCCATCAAGGCATCAGTTACAGACCCCAGGGAGGAGGCTTCCTACCTATGTTTATATTTTTTGTTGGGAGACCAGATGACATTTCTATCAGCAACTACTTGGATGGAGTTTTTATTGTTTAGGCAGGGAATTGCGTGTGACATCTTCGATGGAGCTGTGTTGTACTCAGGTTATCTTGATTCTAAGGAGGAAGGGAGCAGATCAAGAATTGGGCAAGTTTTGAAGCAGTTCCTAAGCTACCGAGATACACTTACGTTAGGCCTGTTCCTCTCCTCCCATCCTTTGAGTGACAAAGATCCCACCAATCAGGAGGGCACCTGTCATCCTCCTTTCCACCTGAGTGTGGCCTCACTGACGAGACAGGGCAGCGTAATGAATGAGAGTGTGAATGAGAGACTGCAGAGGAGAGAACGAAGGACAATGGGAGTGGGGGGTGCATCCCAACAGCCTCACTTAGGTGACATGGAAAAATACAATTCCCCAGAACCCAGTCAAGTTTTTGTTTTTCATATCTGATTTCATACAAAAGCCTTAAGAGATCCAGGACAAAGAAAGTAGTGCGAATCTGTGTACTGCCTTTAACAGTATGTGTATAAAGGGTAAGATTTAAAAGAGAGATGCATATATTTGGATCACACACGCTTGTTTCTTTCATTAAAATAACAACACAGGTGAAACGGGGCTGGCTCATGAGCCAGAGTTTGTTTTGAACACCATAGCTGGCATGCCTCTCCTCAGCCTCTCCCAGTAGGGAGCCCTGTGCAGTCTCCGGCCTCTGACGGTTCGGTTCCATGTCTGTGGTGTCTCCAGTACTGGGTTGGAACCATGTCCACAGAGGCCTGTTCTGTCCTGTACTCGAAAGAGGGCCCAGTCCTGTGTATTACATTGGGGCATAAACTGTGATATACACTTTTTTCCCTCTAAAGTGTTGACATGACGTGTTTGAATGAAGAAACAGCTCCAGTGGGGTCCACGATCTTCCTTTCCTGCTAGTGCCACGCTGTCCGTGTACCAGCTAAACTGCAGCATCTGTCCCTGACCGGGTTTTTATCTGAGCTCATCCTTCCCTGAGATCTTTGGGGAATTAACCAGTTATCCACTGTGTCATTGTCTCTTATTTAAATCTCAACGTATGATGAATGCATTCTGCTATGCTTTGCTGAGAAAATATTTGTCCGTTCTTTATGACAACAGCCTCTGGTCTCCCTGTAAGTAATAAGCAAAGCCCAACCTAACATGTTTCTCTTTCTGCCTTCACTACTCAGAAGCCCTGTCAGACCTGTGGAGGAGGATTATAGAAGTCCACTCTCCTGCTCGCTCTGCTTACCCCATGATCATGTCTGTGGCATGGAGGTGGGTGGCATCATTATATTTGCCGGGCTTCTTCAGGATCATCACATTTTTAGTGTTTTCATGTGGTAGGAGCTGGTTAGATTACCTTTACTAATATTGCTACAGTTTCACTTTAAAGGTTTTTCTAGATCATCAAGTAAGTCTAAAGTTCACATTTTCAGGAACTTAAAAAAATTATTTTATTGCTGTTTCATTTCACAGAATTATTCTACTGTTTTATTCATGTACCATGAAATGTAACTACCTGAAATTGGGTCCAAGCAACCGTAGGTTTTGGTTGTACAGCTTTCTTCTGTTTGAGCAACTCATTATTACAGAACAATGGGTGTTTGTTGCCCCGGTTTCCATTAGGAAATGGGGAATAGATATGATTAGCTTATAATTTCTGTTCAAAAGGTAATGCTTATTTGCAGTCTCCAACATTTAAGGCTAATTATTTCCTTAAACCTTCTTTGCGAATGATGTTATAGATTTCCTGGGTGGGAGAGGGTAGAAAAACAAAACCAGAAAGTCACAAAGACCCTCCTATGTAAAACAAGGATGACCAACATATTGGGGCCGCTTGTTTTATCTATGGATCTATTTGCTGCAGTTCTGAGTTTAAGACTCCATCACCTCCCAGTCTCAGCCCCAGTTGTTGACCCCGCAGCCCATTCTGCCAAGAAATAAAGCTGTCGGTGGTGACTTCTGTCTTCTGCCCTCAGGGACCCACCAGGCCCTCCTGGAAGGGTGCTTTGTTTGGTGTCTCCTCCGTGGACGCTGGGCTCCCTGCTCCCAGTCCCGCTTCACGTGGACGCCACTGCCCCGCCCTCATCCTGTCCACGTGCTGGGACTTTTCCTGCAATTAGATATTCTCTTGGATCTTCAGACGTTCCCTCTACTGAAATATTCTCCGGTCCACTCAAAGAGAGTAAGAAAAGGCCTTCTGTGGCCATTAGCCCACTTGTTATAAGCACGGTTATTCTGCTTTTCACTTTCTCCGCCTTGCCCATGGCCTGTGTCTGCATGCATCCTCCCCCCCGACTGCAAGCTGAGTTTATCTGGTGGTTTGTTCCGTCTTTGGCACTAGGCGGCTCACTCCAAACAGTACAGTCTCCCCGTTTTGGTAGTGGCCAAACCCCTAGTATGTGGAGTACTGTCTAGCACATGACACACTCTGTCTCTTTATTAGGCAGTAACCCTCAATGATTATTTTTATTTTAAAACCAAGAAGATCGAGTATCTTGATGTGGTCAAATAATAAGGTGAATGTTTAAATTTCAAAATTTATTACAGTGAAAGACAAACGGCTACTAATTCTCCTAAAAATCCACCTGCCTTTATTTCAAACACACTTATCCCATCTCTCTTGCCACTTCCTGAAGGAGTTCTGGGAGTCTTCTTTTGTGAGTGTCTTTAGTTGTGTTGCTGTGGCTGCCTTGATGTCCTCAATCAGCTCAAAATGCTTCCTTTTCATGGCCATTTTTGACTTTGGAGAGAAGTCAGAAGTCACACGGTGTCAGGTCTGGTGAGTAAGGTGGATGAGCACAGGTTGCCATGTTCTTACAAAGCTGCCTTCCATTGGATGGCGCTCAGTGGCAGGATTCACCATGGTTTTTTTTTTTTTGGTCAATTAAGTAAAGACACTCAGGAAAGAGGACTCCAGAACTGCTTCAGAAAATGACAAGAATGGTGGGATAAGTGTGTTTGAAGCAAAGGGAAGTAATGTGAGAAAAATTAATGTGAATGTGTCTTTAATAATTTTTAAAATTTAAACATTCACCATATATTTAAATCACACCTCATAACTTGTCTGTTTCCATTGATGTTTAAATCTATTTCCCTTTTCAGAGAAGCAGTGTCTATATAACCTCTAGTGAACGTTACCATCCAATGCTAATGTTTTCTCTTTATAAAAACAACTTCCTAAATGAAGGGGGTCAAATTGAATACTTTTTCAACAATGAGTAATTAGTGTTGAAATAAGACAAGAATGCTCATCTTGATCTTTATTTTCTGTTGCTGGTCAGCATCCGTCTGCAGCTAAAAAATATATTTAAATGACTACAAGATCCCCTTCATTTGCCTTCATCAGTGCCAGTATTATTGTTCTGCTCTGGGTCATCACAATACTGAGTAAACTAACAATTCTCAGGTTCCATCCCTACCCATCCTGGGTGGAATGAAACGCCTCCTCGTTTACATCACTCAAGTCGCCAAATAAGAAAGGACCAGTCCCAGTCTCATTTTCTAGTGACCAGTGCAGCCTCTTACTCATTGGTTTTGCCTTGATACCTTACGTAACATCTTTCTGTGACAGTACATCAGATGCCCACCTGCAGCTCTGCTGGTGTTTTTTTTTTAGGGAATTGATTGATTGCACAAAAGGAAAAAAAATAAAATTGCTGTTGTATCCTAAGACTTTTTCAGCTGCAAGTAGCATAAAAGCTGCTTGCAGCAGCTTAATTCGAGAGAAGACTGATTTTCCTCCAGGCTGGATCACTGGTGTTGAGGGTCCCCGGCTGGCAGTGCATGGTGCAGGCTCCCTCTGGCCTGTCTCTTCCCTCCTCAATGCCTTTGCTTTTGTCCTTGTGCTGTCACCTTGTGAACTTCACATCTGCATAACAGGAAGTTCAGAAAAAGGGTAAGTGGGCAAAGCATTGTCCATCCTCTTCCGCCATGCCTGGGAGAGAAAGGCATTTAGAGTCAGCCTTGCAGGGCCTTCCCCTAGGTCCTATTGTCCTGGACAGCGTCAAACGACTGCATCTGGATGTGAGAACTATTGGAAAGATGACATTTCTAGTGGAGCATATAGCTGTCCTGAACAAAATCAGGGTTTGCTCATCAAGGAAGAGGGAAATGCACTTCGGGTGGACAGCTCAGAGCCGTGGTAACTACAGGGCTCCCACGAGGACAGGGTACCACAGTCTCGTGTTAGGATGAAGCAGTGGTCCTTTTACAGGTAGTTCACAGTTGGTACGGATATTTTCTGCTTCTTTTTTTGTCCTTGTGAAAAGATCTTGGCCATTAGATTTACTCCTGCTGGGTAAAATTTTTATTGAAGACTTAGAATGAATCAGAGGTTATTCCTGCTCCTTGAGGTAGTGAGTGGCTCACAGTACATACTTAGAAGTGAGAATAAAATCATGACTGTTCACTGCATTGTGATCAGGATCTACCCAGATAATGGCTACAGGTGTTAATGGCTATTGTTATTTATTCAGAAAGCATACTTACTACCACCTGCCCTTCACTGCTTTAGTGGGTGGTAGGGACATAGTAGTTCGCAAGTCACACTAGGAAGGGGGACCAGGTGGTAAGCAAATATACTGGGGATATTTCTTAATCTCAGAAGAAATGGTAAAAAGAAGACTTAAAAGAACAAGCCCAGAGATAGTCTCTCTGAAGAAATGAGGTGAGAGCATTTTTTTCCTGAGACCTACATCTCCAAATATTCATATTATAAGTAAGATATTTTTGGCAAAAATAATACAATTGTTTTCTGTAGAGAAGCATTAATGAGATCATAGGTTCCCTTTAGCTTAGAGGCAATTATGTGAGCTGCTATAGAATGTACAGGTCCTTTCTCCCCAGTGGCTGGTTCTCCAATCACCGTTGAGCCAACCCATGATGCATCATCGCTTAGAACTTAACAGGAAAATCATGCAGTTCCTTGCATTTTTTATTCTTCTCTTCTCACCTCCATTTGCTATGTCCCTGGCTGTGATCCCTAATGTGACAGCTCCCATCCCAGTGACTGGATCATGCCTCTCCTTCTACTCTAACAAAGGGAGAATCGCAATACCCACCCGGGATTGGAGACAAATATGTGGAGATTAATTTTGAAACTTTCGCTTTAAACCTTGATTTAATCTAGTGGGCTCAATACCACTGAAGGCAGTGTGGAGTAGCATTGGCCGTGCAGCGAGTATGGTCCACTCCCAGCTGCACAGAGCTGGCTGAAGGTCGGTACAAGTTTGGGAGTTTAATATCCCAACCTGTGGAATGGGGCTTTGCTAGTGTACCATGAGGAACAATTTGGGGGAAAGACTGTTTGTACACCCCATGATTCTTTCTTTTCTCTTGGATGCCTTTATTTACTAGGATACAGTATATTTCTTATTTAGTGACTTGCTGAAAGTTTTTAAACATCAGTTTCTCTGATTTGTTTAAAAGTTGTTTGGATTTTTAAGCTCTTTCCAAAGCTACCTTTGAATAGGCCAGCTCTTATTTTTTTTCTTTTTCTCCCTCAAGGTGTTTTGCATAGTTCTGAGAACATAAGGAGTGTCTGAGACATTACTTTCTTATTGTTCCATAATGTAATAAACGTGTGTTGGAGGTTTAAATATTTGTTCTAGGAACACCATACATTAGGGCCTGGCATCCACCAGTACTTCCCAGCAACATCTCTGTGCTATAATGGGAATTTCCGGTTATCTGTAAGCCTCTAGGGAAGAACCTGGAACTCACTCAATAAACACCAGGCTAGGTGCTAGAGACACTATGGTGAAATACACGCAGGCTTGCAACTTACATTCTGACACAAGAGGTAAACATTAAACAAATAACTTCATTTGATTATGCTATATAAAATGGGGCCTACCCTCTTAGAGAGTAGCCTGAGAGGGTGAAGTCTAGGGTGATTAGGAGTTATCCAGGGCAGCAGTGGGACACACATTCCCCATGCAAATGTCCTCACTTCAAAGAGAGCCTGGTCGGTTCAGAGAACAGGAAAAGGTGAGTAAGGAGGCCACATAGTGAGTAAAGAGAGAAAATCAAGGTGCAGAAGACATGGGCAGCTGGGGACGTGGGCTTACTTCGACAGTACCAAGGAGCCATGCAGAGTGGGAAGAGCCCAGTGATGGGATTCAGTTTGTTTGGAAATTATGGTTGCAGGATGGAAAGCAGGGTGGGACGAGTTTAGAACGGCTGTTGAGCTCTTCCTGGCAGAAGATGATGACTTCGATGAGCCCAGGCACACCAGTGATGATGTAAGTGCTTTATGTGTAGATAGATTAACGCTTCATGCAGAAATCTGGCCTTGAAGATAAAGCCCTGCCGACACCGTGTCATGGGGTGTGTGACTATGGAAGGCACTGCTCTGGTCTCCCTTGGGTTTCTCCGTGCTCCCAGGTATTCAGTCCATAGCTGCCACACCAGCATGGGATTCACGAGCCTGTTTCAATTGCAATTCATTAAAAGTAAATAAAATTAAAACTTCGGCACCTCAGTCACATTTAGCCATCTCCCGGAGGCTTAGTGGCCCACTTGGCCAGTGGCTGCTGGAGCAGATGGCACAGCTGTGGAAGGTGGCCACCCCTGAGGACTTCTGGCCTGGCGTCCTGGAGAGTCCAGCGCTTCATCATTGTAGACTCTTGAGGGGTGGCATCTCCAGGTGAACGAGTGGGCATTCACATGTGCCTCCTTCAGAACTCCAGTCATGTGCTCTGTCCTCTGTCCCTCGGGGCTCCCTGCCACTGCCCTGCTCTGGGGCTGGGTGAATAAGCCCCTCCCTGGCAGCCCACCGCGCTCTTCTGCCCCTTCGTCAGAGCTGGCTTGCCTCCCCCATTGTCCTTGAGTGTCGCTGATTCACCTCTCTCACTGGATTGGGAAATAGGGCAGCAGGGTCCAGTGGGCATGTGCCATCTGGGGCGGCAGCTCCGAGGTTGGCTCACCCATTGATCCAAACGGCCTGATTGCTGTCCTTAATTGTGCTATTTAAGTATCAATAATCCTGAGGATGTGTGACACATAGTCTTTAAAGTTTGAGCTCAGACTTCTTTTCTTTTCTTTTTTTTTAAAGACAGGATCTCACCTTGTAGTTCAGGCTGGCCTTGAACTCTCGGTGATCCTCCTGCCTCAGCCTCCCCAGTGCTGGGATTATAAGCATGAGCCACCATGCCCAGCTTTGGGCTCAGAACTTCTGAGTGAGCTAGAAGACTAGAAAACTACGGAAGAGTTTAAAAGACAGCATTCTATGCAGCACAGAGAAGAAATTGAAATACTGAAGGTCTGTGATACTGAGAATGATGGTACATTGTTAGGAAACCAGGAGGCTCGAGACCCTGTCCTGCTGGTGGACCTCAAGCTGCTGAGGAGAGGCCTCGCCGTCAAGTCCTGGCTCCCTCTAGCTGGAGACCTCATTGTGATGTAGGTGGCTCACTGAGGTACAAGCAAGGTGTCCAAAGGCATAATGACACCAGGCTCTCCGAGATGGAAAATGAAGTGAAGAGTCCCAGAACTGGCTTCTCTTTAGAATGGAAAAGACCAAAATTTGACAGCTGTGTTTTTCAGAATTGTGTGCATGATTCATAAGGCATCAGGTAAATAAATTCTAACTTACTTGTGACAGGAAGTGCAAATCGCTTTAATAAATTCCACACTCCTTAGTGTTCAAGGAATGAGGAAAGTTTCCTGGTGGAGTCACTGTTGACTGGAGCAGTCCCGGGGACTGGGGCACGGGTGGTGGGTACTGAGCAGGCAGCTCAGGAAGGACCGGACATCTGTACGCATGACTTCGTCACCTACTCATCCCCTGTCACTGACACAGTCAATCTATGAATGTAACTGTGCACTTAACCTTTGTAAACAACTGGACACAATTGTTTTGATATCTTCTCATCTCTGGGTTTGTTTTCATGTTTTTTCTATTAACATAGTCTAAAACTGGCATAAATATGAAAGATTAAAAATGCTGTTCTTCAGCACTTATCTTTGGTGATATCTGTTGAGATGCATACATGCATACATACACGAACACACTTACATGTGTGCCAGAAATCTAGCATAACATCCCCATGGTTATCATGTATTTTGTTCTTATGTGTCAAAGAGATAGTAAACAAGAGATGAGAATTCCCACTTTTAAATTTTTACTCTTATTAGTGCACGCTCGCAGTATGCAATGATTACATTCATTGTAGAGTTGGGAGTTTGTGAGTGTACAGAACACATCTTAATTCTCTTACATCCATTCCCCCATCTCCCTCTCCCTCCCTCCATCTCTGAAAGGAGATTTTTAGATGTCACTGCCTTCTCCCAAATCCTCCATGTACTATTATAATCATTTCCAGCTTGGGTTTCCCAACAAATTGAATGATACCTCTTACAACCACTATTTGAGAAAATCCCTGGGCGAATCCTTACATTTTTTTAAAAAAAAAAAGAAGAAAAGAAAAACAAACAGAAAGCAGTTTCAGTGTCAGCTGGGCCTGGGTGGAAGAGCCCAGCTGGCTTCCGCTTCTGAAGCCTGGATAGGCACAAACTCGAGTTTGGGAAAGTGGCTCTTTCGGCTACTTTGGGATAAAGTACTGGACCTCCAGGTGCTTGCAAGTAGTGAGTGTCGTTTGTACCATTTCGTGTCTTAATGTCTAGTTCTCATATTGAAGGCCAGGTGTTTTGAAAGGAAGTAAACAGTCTTCCTAAAATAAGTTGTCAGGGACTTACATTGCACACGCTGATAGGGACCAATGCCATGGAGATGCCACTGAAGAACACTTGGAAATAGTCCCCGCATCAACAGATCTGGTAGATCCTGCCTGTCCTTTTTAGATGGATTTCAGACAGGCGTACTTAGATTTTCACTAAAACAGTCAGGGGGTTAACGAAAATCTTCAAGGCTGTTTGGAGTTCATGGAGAATCTGCATAAGCCATTATTTGAAAGAAATTTCATCAGTTCTTATCTCTATGAAAACAGGGCTTTGACATACAATTATCACACAATTTACATTTTATTTGAATGAATTTACATAGCGAATAAAATGAAGTAGCTGTAGTATTTGTTAATATAGAAGTATTTCAGGATCGTAACTTTGGAACTATAAGATAGAAATTCCCTTTGGAGCCAGGGTTCAGGATCAGATATGAGTAGCACACAAACTCTGCAAGACTTGGTCTACTTCTGTACCAGGAAACCTCCAGGGATAATTTATTTGGGAACAAATCATATTCTGTGCATGGAAAGCCAGCAGAGTTGGTAGGGCACAAGGCCTCTGGCCCCCGTGCAGGTGTGGGGTGTGGGATATGCAGGGCACCCCCTGCCAGTTTGCTGACCCTGAGACAACACAAATGGCAGAGGAGCATCTGGTGCCAGGAGTGCGGTGTTGACCGGTCCAACATGGTCTTGGGTGCTCTTTTTGCAAACCTAAAGCACAGCGCAAACTCTGTTTGGAATTCACTTGGAATGGCTGTGTCAGCCTAAGAACAAAGATGGAAGTTATTTCAGACATTGCCTTCTTTTCATGTGTTTATGGGGTGTGTGTGTGTGTGTTCAGGTTCAAGGCTTTGTCCTGGCCCTCACTGAGTGTCTAAATGCCACTTACTCTGCATACATGGGTACCCGCACCCATCTTAGCTTCTTCAGCTAGGAGTAGAACTCTTTGTAGTCAACAAAGTCAGGTTCCTTAATGAGACTGTGGCAGTCTTATTCCCTAATGATATGGTTCCCTGCTACTGACAGTGTAACTTCAGGACATAAAGAAAAAGAACAAGGTAAAGAGAGCTTGAGGCAACCATTGCAGACAGGCAGCAAATAGGCCAAGCAGAAACACAAATACAGTATGCAGAGTCTGACTGTATGAACAAACAACCCAATAAATTCTAAGAATCAAACAGTTCAGACCATTCCCCTATTAAGCAACAATATAAGAAGTTGTTAAGAACCCAAAATCCAACCACCCAGAACATGCACAAAAGCATTCGCAAATGTAACCTCAGTAATCAAGGGATCAAAGGTGATCCCAACCCTAAATCTCAGAAAAGCTGGGCTCAGTACAACGAGCACACGACAGGGAGAAAGTTTGGAGACCATAAACCAGCATCCAACTGAAACAGTTCTAAGAATTTTAAAAAGTGATTATAAAAACCCAATTATAAGATGAATGGATTGGCACATGCTCTCACACATGCACAATGAGCTAGTATCCAAGAGTTGTGTTTTGGGAACAGAACAGTACTAGGACAACAAGCAATGAGGGCCAGCGCAGCTGAGGAGTGTCTTGTGCAGTCCTGCATGCTGACGCTCAGGAAGGCCCCTTTCAGAAGCAATCAGGAGTGCAGCACTGGGATTTCCCCCTCGGTTTCTCAGATCTCAGCTGGGATGGTCTGATGTGTCTCCATGGAGACATGGGGGACCCTTTCGCTCCTGAGCCCTCTCTTTCCTCTCTCCCATCATGCTTCGAGGTAGCTACTCTTCTGTAAGGAGAACTTTCCTCAGCTATCTGCCTGCATCTTGGGTGGATTTTATCAAACATCTTCCATCCCACTTGTGACCCCTCCGGCCTCCACTCTGGACAGCCTTGGACTGCCTTTGATCAGTTGTGTCTCACCTGGCAGGCTCTCAGCTGCAGAACCACTCGAGGAAGCCCATGGACCAATCATGTCTCCCCCCGGCCCTGAGGCCTCTCCTCCTCTACCTGAACTGGTATCCTCCAGGCCAGACCGTCCATCCACACGGCTGCCTTCCTGCCTCCAACCTCCACCTGGGACCCCCTTTGCCTTCCTTCTCATATTGCCTCCAACAGAGGCTAGAATCAGGGCCCCCTGAATTTTGAGAATTCTTTCTTTTTCTTTTTATGGTCTGTGTTCTCCTTTTCCTGGCTTTTCAGGGATATAATTCGTGAGAGGTGGGATTTTTTTGTTGTTGTTGTTATTGTTTTGGTATGTTTTGGTATAACTAACATAACTTTATGTCTCCATGCCCATAAAACTTAGTTATGGGTGCAATTCCAATCAGAATTCCTTCTCTTCCAAATACCGGTGCTATCACTGCATGCTGTGCTTTGCATCTTTGCTGAGAAGTCTGCTTCCAATCAGCTCTCAGCCCACAGGGTTGTTTTCCCCCACAGCTTGCCCCTTACCTCTGCAAGAATTACCCTTCTGGAAATTTTGAGAACTTACTTTTTTCCCTGATGTTCTAACGAGGACTTCTTTTCATTCATCCTGTCAGTCTAGAAACACATAACTTATTTCTGGGAAATGTGCTCCTAGTATTCTTTAATAGCACTACTGTTTCCATTTGCTTGGAATTTTCTTGTTTAGCTTTAAACTCCTTGTTCTGGTTGAAGAAATATACCCTCAAGTTCGTTTTCTAGTCTTCTATTTGAATTTTTAGTCATACTATGATGTTTCCATTTTCTAAGAGCACACTCTTATTCTTGGTTTGCTTTTCACTGCATGCTGTTCTGACTGCATAGACAGTGCACCGTCCCTTCCCTCTGTGGTAATGTGTGAAATTAGGGCCTCCCTCTTGCTTCCTGCATGACCTTTTCCCTTTCCCGGGAACGTCGCTTGGATTTTGTCAGGCCAATTGGCTTCTGCCCTGTCACAGAGAAGGCATTTCTCAAATCCTGGCCAGCCTTCTGGTGTCACTTTTGAGAGTGACCGCAAACATGCAGGGAGCTCGCTCGGGTGACTTTTGCGTGCTGTGGCCTTGTCTTTTGAGGAGGTGACACCCAAAGACACTGCTTCCAGACCTTGCCTCTCCAAGCTGTTGACTTCTAGCCCCACCAGGGTGTTGACCTCTCATCAGCCACCATGCTTTTCCAGTGCATTTCATTGTCTCTGAATTTATAGCCTCTCATTCACTTAGTATTTTACAGAGGAGAAAAGAACTTGTTATCAAAGAGAAAAGATCAATTCAATATTCCAATCTGCCATGCTTTCCCTAAGATGTTTAGCTTTTATTTACTTTATTACATAATATATTGTTTTATCAAATCTTAAAATTATAATATATAGTATACTTATAATTATATACAATCTGGAAGAAAAAGTTATGGACCAACTTGGCCCTAGCTGTGAAGGACTCACAATGGCATCTTGGTGGTGGATTCCTTCTATTTCGAGGAACATCGGTGCATCTTTGGTTATGAAGAGAGGGCCGGAACCTCAGTGGGATGAGTGAGAAGTGACAGTTGTGACAGCATCATGATTGATTGGTTTCCTACTGGTGGACATTTCCACTGTTTCTCATTTCTCTGCTATTAAGAGTGTGTGGACACATACACTAATATTTCTGTAGGATATAGTACAGCGATCAACCTTTCAATGTCCTTTACTAGGGATATGAGTGACCAGAGACCTTGGTAAAAACACAGATTCTGACTTGGTCAGGCCAGTGTGGAACCTGGAATGCTCTGTTTCTCTCAAGCTCTCACGATACCAATGCCTCTGGTTCATGCTTTGAGAAGCAAAATACAGCACACGCACACTCTTTTTGTTTTGGTAACTATTAAAATGAGAGCGAGAGAAAGTGGTGGAAATTAAAAGTGAAAAGTAGAAGAGTAAAGGATGCTTTTTTTCTAACTCTGTACACTAAGGTATCACTGGGATTTTTTTAACAAACAT